TAACAGACCTCAGGACCAATGGAATAGAATTGAAAACCCAGAAATGAATCTACAGACCTATAGCCATCTAATCTTAGATAAGAGAGCTAAAAAAAAAAAAATAGGATGGAAGGAAGAAAGCCTCTTCAGTAAATGGTGCTGGCAAAATTGTTTAATCACCTGTAGAAAACTAAAGCTACATCAACGCCAAATGGACCAACGACCTCGGAGTCAAAGCAAACACTCTGAAAACATTGCAGGACGGAATAGGAGAAATCCTAGGTCTCCTTGGCACAGGCCGAAATTTTCTTAATAGAGATCCAGAAACACAACAAATCAAAGAAAGATTGGACAAATGGGATTGCATCAAGTTGCAGAGCTTCTGCATGGCAAAGGAGATAGCTAGCAAGATCAATATAAAGCCAACGGATTGGGGGAAGATCTTCACTAGCCATACAACACACAAGGGTCTCATATCTAAAATATACCTGGAACTCAAAAAATTAAATTCCCCTACAACAAATCCTCAAAGAAACTACTGCCCAATAAATAAGTGGGCTAAAGAGTTACAGAGAAACCTATCTGAAGAGGAAAGGATGGCCAATATACACATGAAGAAATGCTCAACCTCTCTAGCCATAAAAGAAATGCAAATCAAAATAACATTGAGATACCACCTCTCCCCAGTTAGAATGGCTATAATCAAGAACTCTAATAACAACAGATGCTGGAGGGGAAGTGGACAGAAGGGAACCTTACTGCACTGTTGGTGGGAGTGTAAACTTGTTCAACCACTTTGGAAAGTAGTATGGAGGTTCCTCAAAAGACTCCACGTAGAGCTCCCTTATGACCCATCAATCCCGCTTTTGGGCATTTAACCAAATGATCACAAGCAGGACCAAACTAAATATACCAGCACATCTATGTTTCTTGTAGTATTATTTACCATAGCTAAGATATGGAACCAACCCAGATGCGCCTCAGTAGTTGAATGGATCAAGAAAATTGTGGTATATATACACAATGGAATTCTATGCCTCCATCAGAAAGAATGACATTGCCCCATTTGTTAGGAAATGGAAAGACTTGGAAAAAATTATATAAAGTTAAGTAAGCCAGGCCGAAAGAAATATAGGTCCCATGGTTTCCCTTATTTGCAATAACTAGTATATGTCTGTGACAAACAGAAACTGTCAGACAAGTTGATGTTAGGTGAAATGAACCCCAAGATAAGGATTCAAATGTTTTCTTTTTCTCTCTTGTGATTGTTTCTAAAATATTTATGAGATGATTTCTTTGATGCTTTGCATGTATCTCCCCAGGGTATAAGCTCTGCTTTCACTGTATTTGATGTTGATATAATTTGTGGAGGGGAAGGGAAAAACAAACTGTTTAAATAGGGTTACAGGTGGACCCATTAAAACAATGAGATGTACAAGTCATTATGTCGAAAAACGAACTTTACATCTTTGGGGGGGGCGGGGATAGCGGGAGGGGTGGTGGAGAGGGGAAGGGATGGGAAGAGGAAACAAAGGACGAGGCAACAATGCTTGTTAAGAAGTGTACTCACTATTTTTCCCATGTAATTGTAATTCCTCTGTATGGTATTTTCACAATTAAAAAATGGTTTACAATATAAAATAAATAAATAATAGTAGCACACATTCACACTATGGGTTTCTGCTGCCCATGTAAAGAGTAGTCTTGAACTCAAAGCACAGTGTTTGGCTCATACCTGTCAGAATTTCCTTGGAGGACAAATGCAAAGGACATGAGCCAGAATTCCACCAGGGCAGAGAAATGGCTACATAAAGTCGCTTATCTCAAATGATTTTACTAGAGTGGTTCCACAGCGTGTTTGAACACTCATGAGAAAGAATCTTCAAATGTGGGATAAGTGAATTGACATTACTCAGTTTGGGGAGAAAAAGAGAGAAAGAAATGAATAGAGCCTGAGACCTTTGTGTCACTGTCAAACATGCAGTAGCAATTCTAGAAGAGGGGAGGAAGCAAGGTGAGGTAAAATAGAAGAAATAAAGAAACAGTGACCAAACTTGGTACAACATATGAATATACACATCCATAAATCTCAATATGTACCAAGAAAACAAAGCCAAACAAATCTAGATTGTGTCATATTGTAAACTGTTGAAGATAGGAACAAAGTAAAATCTTGGAAGCAGTGAGAGAGAAACCACATGGAAGGGATTCTTTTTTCTTCTTCTTTCTTTTTTTTGTCAATCCTGGGACTTGAATTCTGGGCCTGGGCACTGTCTTTGGGCACTGTCTCCTTTTGCTCAAGGCTAGAGCTCTATCACTTGAGCCACAGCACCACTTCTGGTATTCTGATGGTGTATTGGAGATAAGAGTCTCATGGACTTTCCTGCCATGGCTGGCTTCACACCATGATCCTCAGATCTTATCATCCTGAGCAATACATGAGGATTACAGGTCTTAACCACCAGCTACAAAGGATTCTTTATTACCAACCATCATTCAATCATCAAAAATCATGGAAATCAGAATAGTGGAATGATTTTCTAAACTGCTAAAAAGAAAAGCAAAAAAACAAAAAACAAAACCATCACTGCCACCAAAAATAAAAATGTATTAAAAAAAACACTCAGCCAGTGATTCTATACATTGGAACTAATTTTTTCACAAATAAAAGAGAAATTGAGACATTTGAAGACTTAAACAAGGCTTAGGATATTAATCATTGGAGATCTTCCCTACAAGAAATTCTATGAGGTTATAGGTGACATCAAATGAAGCTGAGCACTAAGTTGGAGTCATAAAAAGTAGGAAAAACAGATCATTGTCACATAGATAATTAAAAATCTGGTATTTTACATTTATGACTTTATTTGTTTTATTATATCATTTAAAATGCCAACATATGAGGTATAGAAGTGAACAGAAAAGGAAAAAATGTATTTTCCACATGTACACAAACATATTCTTATTTAAGTAAAACAATTTACATAGTCCAATGGATTGAATTGAATTGTACCATATAGAGTAGCATTTACTTTGAAATAAATTGCCTTTGAATAGAACTTGCTCTTCAGTACTCTGTTATTTATCAGATACATCTATGAATTTATTACTGTGGATAATTTAGACCACTTGATACTTAACATCATTGGGATACAGCTGTGGTTTCCATAGCCATTCATCAAAAGGAGTTGCTTCTACTTTGACATCATCAGGCAGAAAGGTTCTGCAGGACAATTTGATGATAAATGACTTCAGTCATTTTGAGCACTTATATGCCTCGTGGGTTTGTCAAAACAGTAGATATATTAATTCATTCATTATTTTGTGTGTTTCCTACAAAGACAGTGCTTCAGCCCATGTTCTGTATTTAAGACTTCATGCTTCATCTTCAAACTTTTGTCAAGGCTCTTAATATGCTCTTTTTTTTCTGTTCTTTGGTTTTTGAAGCTACCAGGAAATAACTGTAATTTAATCAAGTACAACCAATCTTTAGAGAAAATGATTTCAATGTTTTCTTTCTCCCCAATCTACTTCCTTTGCAGCATTCAGTGAGGAAAGAAAAGTTCTGAGGTTCTGATCAGCCCATCTTTGGAAGGGAGAAAAAAATAGAGAGAGTAAGATTTATAACTTTCTAAGGTTGACATCAACTCCTAGATTTTTATGGCTTTATTCAAGAAAGATGAAAGGATTAGAAAATTTAAACAAAATAATGGATATGTCTCCTTTTATTTAAAGTTTAGATATGGGGCCAATTATTTCTATTTAATCAATATAAGTGTGCTCATTTCCAAATGCTCTGTTGGAACTCTTATGTGCTGCCAGTAGGCATGACAATTAATACAGCTTCTATCAAAATCACTATAGCATTTCCTGAAAATATATACTGAAATAACTACAAAGCTTTCTGAATGGAGCTTCTTGAATATATATATATAGATATATATATCAGAAGATACTGCTTTAACACTCTCAGGTATATACCTAAAGGAATCAAAGTCAATATACAGTAGAGACACTAGCACAACTCATGCATAATGTGACACTGTTCACAATGGCTAAGCTGTGGAATCAGTTCAGCAAAGAACTAATAGATGAAGAAAATGTAGTATTTGAAGACAAAAATGAAACATATTCATGAAAGGATCATGTGTGGATCTAGAGATCATCATATTGAATGAAATAATCCAGATTCAGAACGACAAATGTTTTCTCTAATATGTGTAAACTAGAGAAACGTAAGGCATTCTAAATAGAAGCTGAACTATTAGGAAGAAGGAGGTAAAGGGGAAGGAGGAAGGAATGTTGGAGTGATAATAACCAAAGTACATTATATCATGTATGAAAATCACAATAAACCCATTATTTTGCAAAACTAATATACACTGTAAAATGAAAATAAATATTTCCCAGGCTGTGAACAAGAAACATTCCATTAAGTAGATGTTGAACCAATCTGTGTTATAAAGTTTTCTTTTAAATTTCAGGAAATTTCATTGAAAATTAAAGATGAGGAATGACTTGAAGGTGCCTAGATTGATATGAAGAAGATCTCTACTATGTGAAATGCTGCTTGGTCCTGAAAACAACACCCAGATTTCCACAGTAAATATATAATATTTTTAGTGCATGAAATAGGGTTTTGAGAATCACTGCTTTACTCCAAAAAAAAGTAATATAAAATGCACACATGAACATCACGACCCCATATTTACTCTGAGCAAATTTTGCCAAAATCTCTAACTAGATATCTATTTTTACGTTTTAACATTTCATGTAAGAAGGGTTTGCATTTTGAGTATTTGTTTGAATATTTGATTTGCATTTTAAGTATTTGATCAGTAGCGACCACAAGAGGGCAGTGTGCATTCAGGGACCAAAAAGAAACCTTTCAAGTTCTCTTAAGTGAGAAAGGAAGGGAGGAGTTGGTTGGTGCAGGAGGCTTGGGGAAAAGATCCTCTTTTTCTACTTGAAGGACAGTTCCTGTTATGTTTTCTAAAGCACAATACTGAGATTTGCTTTCTTGTGCAGTTTGTAATCTTCGCCCTCAGTGGGAAAGGATGAGATCGTTGAGTGTCTTATTAGTGATCCTGTGGCATCGCTTGAGCTGTGAGTTGGCATTTCTATGGGAACATGAAGTTCAGTGATGGGAGTTGTTGTCTGTGTGTCTGTGTCAGGTATGTGAGGAAAAACCAGAAAGTTCTTAGTTTTTAGGCAAGGGAGGGTGGAAGGCCCATGGAAAAAAGTAATTTACATTCCATAAGAGAAAGCATCCACTTTGTATTGTATTGTTCCTTTATATGACATTTGTCTTTCTGCACAGGGGTAAACAGCCAACAGAAGGAGGTGGAGCAGCATCCTGAGTCCCTCAGTGTTCCAGAGGGAGCCACTGCCTCTCTCAACTGCACTTATAAGAATAGTGCTTATCAGTACTTCATGTGGTACAGACAGTATTCTGGGAAAGGCCCTAAGCTTCTGGCATCTACATACTCCAACGGTGATAAAGATGAAGGAAAATTCACAGTGCACCTCAACAAAGCCAGCCTCTATCTTTCCCTGCACATCAGAAACTCCCAGCTCAGTGACCCAGCAACCTATCTCTGTGCAATGAGTACACAATGCTCCCCCAACACCTGCAGCCTGCATCCAAACCTACAGGGGCCCCAGTAAGGCCTGAGCTGCAGCAGAACCCAGCACACAGCAAATATGCTGGGATCTGGATGCGATGGGTGTGAAGAGCAATAGCAGGGAGGGTTTGAGTGAATATTTTTCCTCTAAGAGAATTTTAAAATATTAATTTTTAAATTATTGATATGGTTGAAATATTTTCCAGTTTTCTCTTAACATTCCAATTTAAAATTTTTCATTAAGGAATACCCAAAAGGGTCCATATAATGTCTAAATTTTTTTGAGAAATTTAAATATAATACCCAAACAACTGTCACATAAATAATGCTGCAAACATAAACATTGTCCCAGAAAGTGTCCTTCCTCTATCTTATTATTGAAGTATATTAATGTAGTCAGATCAATATTGATTAATATTAATGTTGTTGTCTAATCCAGTTTTATATCACAGCTATCACATGCAGAATATCCCACTATATTATTCTGACATGTTAAATTAAATGATACAAAACATCTAGTCTTCTAATCTTGGCTCTTACCTTTATCAGAAGTAATTTGATGGAACAGAAGACGAACACAATACATAAATCCAATGAATAATTCAGTATAGGTTTGCTTTACTTTTTCCTTTCTTGCCAGGTTTCACATTCTTAGATTTTTCCGTCAAGGCTGGTGCTCTACCATTTGAGCCACACTTTTTTTTAAGAGTACAGGGGTTACAGTTACATGAATAAAGTAATGAGTATATTTCCTATCAAGCATTTTTGCCTCCTCCTTTGTTTTAACCCTACCATCCACTTATTCCCACCTCCCTAACTACTCGTGTCCCCTCCCCCTAACTGAAAAGGTAAAGTTCATTTTCAACAGAGTGTCTTGTTCATCTCATTGCTACAATGGGACATTGTGTATCCCTATTTAATCATTTTGTTTTTTCCCTCCCCAAATTAGAAAAGTATATATACAAGATGCAGGGTACCGGAATCAAATACAGTGAAAACAGGGGTTATACCATGGGGGAGGAACATACCAAAGAAACAAAAAAATCACATAGTACATTATAAGTATGTTAAAAATTATAGCAAGAAAGAAAAAAAACTCTTGTGTCCCTGTCTCGGTGTTTATTTAGCTTAACATCATTTTATATGGTCCTATGTATATAGCTTTTGACCTTTTCTGTTTGTCCTAGACATACTACTTATTAGAAATAAGGAAACCATGGGAACTATGTTTCTTTGTGCTTGGCTTAATTCATTTATAGTTTTTTCCAAGTCTTTCCATTTCCTAATAAATGGGCAGTGTCATTATTTCTGATGGAAGCATACAATTCCACTGTATGTATGTATGTATGTGTGTGTGTGTGTGTGTGTGTGTGTGTGTGTGTGTGTGTGTAATTTTCTTTATCCATTCATCTACTGAGGGGCATCTGGTTGGGTTGGTTCCAGATCTTAGCTATGGTAAATAATGCTGCAATAAACATAGTGGTTCTGGTAGTTTTAGTATACCCTTGTTTGTGATTGTTTGGGTAAATGCCCAAAAGTGGGATTGCTGGGTCATAAGGGAGCCCTGTGGAGTCTTTTGTGGAACCTCCACACTGCTTTCCAGAGTGGTTGAACAAGTTTACATTCCCACCAACAATTCAGTAGACTTCCTTTTTGGTCACTTCCCCTCCAGCATCTGTTGTTATTAGATTTTTTGATTTTAGCCATTCTGATTGGGGTGAGGTAGAATCTCAATGTTGTTTTGATTTGCATTTCTTTTACGGCTAGAGAAGTAGAGCATTTCTTCATGTGTGTATTGGCCATTCTTAATTCCTCTTCAGAGAAGTTTCTCTTTAAGTCTTTAGCCCACTTATTTTTTGGCAGTTGTTTCTTGGAAGATTTGTTGTTGGGGGATTTAGTTTTCTGAGTTCTAAGTATATTTTAGATATGAGACCCTTGTCCATTGTATGGTTAGTGAAGATCTTCTCCCAGTCCATGGGCTTTCTATTGATCTTGCTAGCTATGTCTTTTGCCATGCAGAATCTCTGCGGTTTCATCCAATCACATTTGTCCAACCTTTTTTTGATTTGTTGTATTTCTGGGTCTCTATTAAGAAAATTTCGGCCTGTGCCAAGGAACCCTAGAGTTTCTCTTATTCCTTCCTATAATATTTTCAGGGTGTCTGCTTTGACTTTGAAGTCTTTAGTCCATTTGGACTTGATTCTGGTGCAGAGTGATATATGAGGATTTAGCTTTAGTTTTCTACAGGTGTTTAACCAATTTTGCCAGCACCATTTACTGAAGAGGCTGTCTTCCTTCCATTCTATTTGTTTAGCTCCCTTATCGAAGATTAGGTGGCTATATGTCTGTGTGTTCATTTCTGGGTCTTCAGTTCTATTCCATTGGTCCTCAGCTCTCCTCTTGTGCCAGTACCAAGCTGTTTGCATTACTATTTGAGCTATACTTTCAATTTTGGATTTATTGATAGTTATGAAAGCAAGAGTATCTTGGATTTGTCATCCCAAGATGGCTTCAAATCCTGATGTTCTGTTATCAGCCTTCTGAGTAGCTAGGATTGCAGGTGTGAGCTACCAGAACCTGGTTTGAGTATAGTTCTTAATAATATATGAAAAATCTAAAATTCATTAAGTTTTAACCTTTTTAAAAGTAAATTATTCCAGTGATTTCCTCATAAAATCCTTACAATTAATCTAAGATAAGATATCAGCCAAAATACAGGAGGAGGTAGGGAAAATTTCTTTGGGATTTCACTTTAAGTCACACTAATTCATGCATGACATGAGGTCACACCACATTTTTAGTCTTTCAAAACACAATAGCAAAGTAGTGAGAAAGTAGATCTTTGCTACAAAAATTCACAGAATCAAGCTTTACTTTCCTATTATCATATTCAAGACCAGGAAATAGTATAATTTCATCTGACAAGTTTACAAAATTCTATATGTACAATGCCTATGTGCATCAGATCATACAAAATAATATTTATCAAAATTAACCTAGGAAATGGAAATAAAGGGTTTTTTTCTTTTTTGCTATTTTTGTTTTTCATTTTATCTTGTGTACTCATTCATTCATGTCTTTAGGAGGGGAACGAAGGCACAGAAATGGAAGGACAAATAGTGAACAAATGAAGAAAAACTGCATTTGTTAGTTTCAACTATATGTTGAAAATAAACTATATAATTTGTGGGTGGAGATACAAAGAGAAAAGTGGGAGAGAGCAAGAGAGGGGATATTTTCCAAAAAGAAATGTACTCGTTACCTGAGTTATGTAACTGTAAGCCCTCTTTACATCACCTTTATAATAACAATAAATTGCACATGTACAATTATCTGTTATATATCCATATTATAGTATGTAATTCCAAATTGTTTGTGATTTGACTCACATGATAGGATAACAAAACCTGCTCCTTAAAAATAGCATCAAAAGGACTGCAGACAGAAAGGCTGTCCTTCTTTATTCATCATTTCCTAATTCATTGTGGAGATTTCAGAACAATCCCAGCTATGGGTTTATCTGGTACAAAAGGAAGGAGATGGAAATGAAGTTGCCAACCTATACCTGTTCTATTCTCTAAAAACCAGTCTCACTAAACATATTTTCATGTTCATGATGGTCAAGTTACAGGTTTACAGTAATCTCCTAATTTCATTTAATTGTGCTTAGAATTCTATAAAGTAGCCAGTGATATTCTTCCTCAGTAAAATCTTTCTTGTAAATAAATTGTTGTTTTGAAATTTGCATGTTCTGATTTTGTGACTAAAGAAGTTGGCTTTCTGATACTAATCGTTGTCTCCAATGTATATCTGAATGATCTTTTCCCTTTCTTCCCTTTCCTCCTGAGGTGTCTGATCACATAGGCATCCCTGGAGGGAAGAGGGGGTGGGTGGGTGGCTAGATGTTCTGTCTGTGGTCAGCAACTGCAAAATCAGCAGAATACTGCAGCCAGTGGTTCTGAGAGATCCCAGCCAAAAACTTGAAGCCAATCTTTGTTCCCTGGAAGCTTTATACTCTTTAAGGACAGATGGACTCAACCTATTTGTTATTTTTGTCTCAACTTGGTGGAGGCAAGAGAAGACATGTTCCTAAGAGAATTAGTTTCCTTTCTAGAGGTCAAGTGATCTCTTCAGCACAAGCACTCCATGAGTTGTATTTTCCTGTGTTTCATTCTAGGCTCCCAGCTTCTTCACACCAAACATATGTCTAACTCCAAAGCAGAGTAACAGAGTTAAGTCTGGCTGGTAGCCAAAGGTGCCCTTTGGCAAATGAAGATCAGAGACTTTTCCAATCTTCACTCTTTATGGAATGAATGCTTCTTTGTTTATGGCCTATTGCTTTTTAACTTGTAACCAAAATTCTGAGGAGCATATTCTGTATGAGAAGGTCAAAACCAGTGATGGCAAGTGGAAATTTTATGGACATGACATTGCTTTAAGACTCCATTAACTCTCCAATTAAGTGGCATAGATTGTCTACTTGGATCAAAAAGCAAGATCCTTCTATCTGCTGCCTTCAAGAAACACACCTTGCCCATAAAAACAAACATATTCTGAAAGTGAAAGGCTGTAATAAAATCTACCAAGCCCATGGCACCCATAAACAGGTGGGACTTGCAATCTTAATAGATAAAATAGTCTTCAAATTAGAATTAATGAGAAGAGATACAGAAAGTTAAGGCATTTCTCCCTGAGGAGGATGCAACAATTCTAAATATCTATTCACCAAATAATGGTGAATATCCTACAAACATTACTTTCCGTAAAAATCTCACATACATTCAAAGACATTAATTTTGGGGGATTTTAACATACCACTATCCCCACTGAATAGATCAACCCGATAAAAACTCAACAGAGAAAACTCAGATCTAAACAACCACAGAGATCAGCAAGAATTAACAGACATCTACTGAATATTTCACCCAGCAGCATCAGAATACACATTCTTCTCAGCAGCACATGGAACATTCTCCAAAATAGATGGCATTTTAGGCCACAAAGCAAATTTGTCTAAATTCAGAAACATTGAAATTATGCCCTGCGTTCTCTCAGACTACAAAGGAATAAAATTAGAATTCAACACCAAAAGCCATCAAAGAAAAACCTATAACACATGGGCTAAACAACACACCTTTGAACCAGCAGTGGGTCATAGAAGAGATTAGAAAGAAAATTCAAATGTTCATGATATTTAACAAAAATGAACACACAAATTACCAGCTCCTCTGGGACACAGCAAAGGCAGTACTCAGAGGCAAGTTTATAGCTCTGAGTTCCTGTATCAACAAATTGGAGAGATCTGAAACCAACCATTTAACAAGCCACCTGAAGCTCCTTGAAATAAAAGCAACAAGCCAAACCCCAATCCAGTAGAAGGAAACAATTAAATTTAAATCAGAATTAAATGAATTAGAATACAAAAAATGTAGAAAAAATCAACAGAGTTGGTTCCTCAAAACAATTAATAAAATTGACAGACCTTTAGCAAATTTTATCAAAAAAGAAGAGAACACACCCAAATAAACTCAGAGATGAGAATGGAACTATCATCACAGAAAAAAACCAAGCTTCAGATATGATAAAGGAATACTTCTCAAAGTTTTATGCTAATAAGTTTGACAATCTGGAAGAAATAGTCGAATTTTAGCAAATAATGACATGCTCAAACTAACCCAAGATTATTTAAACCAATTTAACAGACCCATATCAAGCATCAAAATAGAAACATCAATGAGACCTCCCACCCAAAAACAAAAGCCTGGATGGAATTACAACTGAATTCTGCAAGGCCTTCAAAGCAGAACTCACACCAATACTCCTCCAAATTCTCAATGAAATTGAAAGTAAAGTTTACTACCAAACTCTTTCTATGAAGCCAAAACCAGGCAGGGACTCATCAAAGAGAGAACTACAGACCCATTTCTTTGATGCACATCCATGCAAAACTTCTCAACAAAATTTCAACAACTCATCAAAAAAACAGAAACCATAACCCACGATCAAACAGGACTCATTTCAGGGATGCAAAGCTGGTTCAATATACACAAATCAATTAATATAACTCATCACATCAACAAAAGCAAGGGTAAGAACCACACGATTATCTCAATATATGCAGAAAAAACATTTCGACAAGATCCAACACCTCTTTATGAAGAAAGCTCTGGAAAAACCAGGAATCCATAGCACATTCCTCAATATAATAAAGGATGTATATGACAAACCTACAGCCAGCATTATACTTAATAGCAAAAAGCTAAAGCCATTTCCTCTAAACTCAGGAATGAGACAAGGAAGTCCACTCTCTCCACTTCTCTTCAATTGAGTATTAGAATGCCTAGCTACAGCAATATGACAAAATGCAAACATAAAGGGGATCCAAATAGGGAAAGATGAAGTAAAACTCTCCCTCTTGGCAGATGACATGATCTTGCAATTAAAGCAACCTGTGGACCCCACTCCCAAATTACAAGAGCTCATCTAATACTTTGGCAAAGCAGCAGGGTATAAAATTAGCCTTCAAAAATTAATGGCTTTTCTGCATGCCAACAATGAGAAAAGTGTGGCTCAAATCAGGAAAGCAACTCCTTTTGTCAGAGCCCCACAAAAAATTAAAGACCAAGGAGTTAACTGAAAAAGTGAAGGACCCCTGTGATGAAAACTTTAAAAACTTGAAAGAAGAAATTAAAGCAGAACTAAGGAAGTAGAAAAGCCTCCCATGTTCCTGTATTGGGAGGATTAACACCATGAAAATGGCAATACTGCCAAAGGCTATCTACAACTTCAATGCAATACCTGTCAATATCTCAATCCCATTCTTCAAGGAAATAGAAGAAGCAATCCAAAAATTTATATGGAACAATAAAAGACCCTGAATAGCAAAAAAGATTCCTTAGCAGAAACAACAGTGCTGGAGGACTATCACTACCAAATTTCAAACTCTACTACAAAGCCAAAGTAATCAAAACAGCATGGTACTGGCACAAGAACAGACCTGAAGACCAATGAAATAGAACTGAAGACCCAGAAATGAACCCACAGATCTATAGCCACATAATCTTCGATAAGGGAGCTAAACAAATAGAATGGAAGCAAGACAGCCTCTTCAGTAAATGGTGCTGGCAAAATTGGTTAAACACCTGTAATTTGGGATGGAAGGGAAGGTAGGGGAAACACAAAGGAAGAGGTAACAATGCTTGATAGGAAATGTACTCATTACCTTACTTGTGTAGCTATAAACCCTCTGTACTCTATTTTTACAATAATATATATAAAGACGTCATTAATAAACATGCACAAAAGCTTAAATTTCTATGAAGTATGGTCTATCAACCTTTCCCTGTATTCTTTCTATCATGCATAGAAATCTACTCTAATACTATACATTAATAAATTGGGTCTCTCAATTTTTTTCTATCTAAAATATAACTATTATATCTGCTAAAAATTTACTTTGTAATGGTTATTAAGAATATACCCAGCCAGGCGCTTAGCATGCCTATAGTCCTAGCTACTTAGGAGGCTGGAATCTGAGGACTGTAGTTCAAAGCCAGCCCAGGCAAATTTATGTGACTCTTATCTCCAGTTAACCACCAGAAAACTGGAAGTGGCACTGTAGCTCAAGAAGTAGAACGCTAGATTCGAGCTGAAGATCTCAGGGACAGCACACAGGCCCAGAGTTCAAGACCCACGACTGAAAAAGAAGGATATATCCAAATTTATTGATTAATTTTCTAGTGATTTTTCATTCAAGATAGCACATTTTAGCAAATGTTCCATATTTGATACATTTTTAGCTAATTTTGCAAGCACAGGCTTTGGTGCTCTTAGAATTTTGTTCTAGTGCATTAAAGTCTATTTATAGACTTCCCTAATGACAATTTTTTTTTCCTGTAGCATACATTGCTCTTTCTGTCCCAATGCTGATTGACCTGCAACCCGACCTTCTCTGCAGTGTCAGTTTTGGCCTCTAGAGAGCGATGCTGCGCAACTTGAACTAAGCTAGAAGCCAAGCAGCCAGCAAACCTTTCCAGGAAGAGCATCTTGTTGTACGGATGGAAGGAAGTGTTAAACTCAGAGATGACTCTGCTCTGTCAGATTCTCTGTAGCTGAACAGGTTCCAGAAAATTCTTCGTCACCTCACATCTGGGACATAAAGCCTACCCTCATCGCAGCACTCCTGATCACGCTGGCATTGAGTGAGTAGTCGCTTCTCATTCAAGCCTTTCTGTGGGTTTTGACATGGAATCATTTTGTCTTCTGCAGTTTCTCTGATCTAGAACTGATGTTTCAGGAGGAATTACAGCCCAGGCAGTGGCTCAGCCTGAGGACCACATCTCTGTCTTCGAAGGAGCCCCTGTGCAGGTGAAGTGCAACTATTCCTATTCTGTGAGTCCTGAGATCTTCTGGTACAACCAACATCCAGGGCAAGGCCTCGAGCTGCTCCTGAAACACATCTCTGGAGGCAGTGCCAAAGGTTTCACGGCCACTCTAAATAAGAGTGAGAAGTCCTTCCACCTGCAGGCCATGACTCAGGAGGATGACTCAGCCATGTACTACTGTGCCCTGAGCCCACAGTAGCTGCTCTGGCAAAGGAAGCAGAGCACAAACCCTCAGACTTACACAAACTACTTCCTGTCAGCTGTCTGTGGCCACTGTGGGGCTTGCATTTCCAGGGAGCCAAACTGAATTACCTCTTAAAATGAATGTCATCAGTGGTCCGTTAGCTTCAGATTGAGCTCAACTATTTGTCCACAAAGATTCTCATTAGCATCTCTTGTTAAATTAATTTTTTAAATAATTATAGTTTTAGAAGTACCCAGAAAAGCACTTTTGCAATAATAACTATATAGCAGAGCAGAGTAATCATTATTTTCTAGGTGACCAGGCAGAGTTAAGAAGGGCCAACCACCTTTCTACCTGCTTTGTCCCTCCAGCCACCCACCTGTGTTCCTTACATTCCAGCAGTTTCTCCCAAGCTCCGTAGACTCCACTGTGAATGTTGACCTCTGCAACAAAGTCCTTTGCTCTCAGGCACTTCACAGATTCCTAGTGCAGTCAAGGGCCATCCTGAGGAAGAAATGAAGTGATTGAAGAAGGCAACTTTAAAATGAACATTGATCATTACAACAGGGAATCAGCTACTGTCTTTACTACTTTTGTGTCACTATGATCAAAATACCTAAGAAAACAATTTAAAGAGGGGATAATTTATTTTTGCACACAGTGTTATAGGTTTCAGTCCATCATGCAAGGGAGAGTTTCACAGAGCAGAGTTGCTTACATCATAGTAGCTAGGAAAGAAGATGAGAGAGGAGAAGGCGGAGGGGAAAGAGAGAAAAGCAAAGAAAAAGCCTGAGCTACAGGATTGTGCCTTGTGCCACCTATTTTGGGACACCTTGTATTTCCCCATTCCTCACATCTCAAGTTGTGCTTTACTAATTTCTTGGCAAAGCAAAGCTGCTTATAAGTCCAAGTAACCACTTGTGTGGCTGTCAATGCACATATCTGCCATGTCTCCACGTGTGCCAAGCTCACCAAGAATTGCAGGGACCCAGCACCATACAGGAAAACCTCATCCTCCTGAAAGTGTCCTTCCAGCCTTGCCTACTGATAAAACTTCATAGCATGCCAGGAGGCCAAGGAGAAATGTGTACAGGGTGGAATTGCAGCTGAGAGTCACTAAACTGATAACTGGTACACCACATCCCTTGGGCACACATCTTATTATGCACCTCTGTACACAAATAGTCATGACGTTTTCTTTCCTTCTTTTTTTTCAGATATCAGCAGCAGAAAATTTATTGTCCAAAGCAGTTTGAGGAACTTCAGGCACTAGCCATGGCTTTCCCCAGTAAAAACCAGAGTTCTCTTCAAACTCACTCTACCATAGCAGAAGTGAATTCTGTCACAGCTACTTTAACCTCTTGATTAATAATCTCAAAAATCGCCAAGGGTGTGATTGGCTTTCAACTGTTATACAAGAAAAAATAACAACCCAAGATTAAAATAGGACAAGTTCAGAGGTACCCTTCCAACAGACGGGGATGATCAGAAGGACCATTTTTCTTCCACCTACAATGACCAGAATTGAATATAATTTTCTAATAACCATTGAGGGAGCCTAGGAGGGATTAATTGTGCTCTAGGATGGGGATACAAAGTCCTCAGGTAGTTGATCAAGCCCCCTTGGGCTAGTCAGGAAAGATTGAAGGTCTCCAGGTTGTCTGGCAACAGAGGCCATACTTCATGTAGAGTGGGGAAAGGTAGAAAGATGGTTAGACACTTTTCAAGGCATTCCACTACCTTGGAAAAATGTGATAACTGAGTGTCTGGAGTTGAAGAGCTGGTCTACAATCAGGAATGAGAAGTACCCTCGTTTTTTCCATATGTGGGGAATTTAAGCTGGTGTGACCCCTCATATGTGATTTTGGTTATATTCATTTGTTTTAAAATGGCCCTAGAAAATTAATCCTTTTTTATTCTTCTTTTATCATCAAAGCAAATAGTAGTTGGCTCTAGAAACACTGCTTTGAACTGTAACTTCCAGCAGCTGGTCATCCCAAATCTTGAAAATCAGCTTCCGGGCCAGACTCTTCAAAACTCAGCCATTCCCTAGCCATCCTATTAGTACCAGAAACACAAGGGCAAAATTTCTATCCCCACCCAAAGAGAAGAAGGGCAGCTCCTAACCCTCACCTGCCAAACACTGCTCTATGTGCAGAGCTTTGCACTTTCTGTCCTGTTCTGTCTGTATATTATTTGCATCCAATTGCCTGACCCTGTTGGGGATTCTGAGACAAACCCAGTTCTTTTCTACTTAATCCAATTAGAGTCCATGTCTCTTGCCCATCCATAGAAACTCTGAGTTACACATAATTTTAGCATTAGGCAAAAAAAAAAAAAAAACTTTTTTATTTTCACAGAAGGAGATCACAGATTGTCACTGTTCACACAGTGAGACCTGGGAACATGGTGTCTGGTAGGCAGAAAGTGGACCACACCCTGCGGGTACAGATAAAGTTTATTGGAAATATCACATGCTTATATACAGCATATAGGCATAGAAAGTCAATCTTCAGTCAGAGGGGCAGAAAGTTCATCATAAACAGTTTTACAGTAATGCAGACAATGAAAGTTAAACTTTGGTCAGTGAGCAGGAAGAGTTAAGCCTCAACAAATGTGAAGCAGTTCTATGGGATCAACGGTTATAAAGAGTAAGCAAAGTGCAGGTGGGTTTCTTTAGGCACACAAAGGGAATATGGAGGCATTGTTTATGAGATTACTCAGAGGAGCATGAAGAGCACATTCTGCATGCCTTCACCTGAGGCTTAGGCTTTTTTCTTTTTGCTTATGTGGTGCTGAGGAATCGAACCCAGGGCCTCATGCATGCAAGGCAAGCACTCTACCACTGAGCCACCTTCCCAGCCCCTGGATGTCTGGACTTGCCCAGACTTGGAAGGAGTTTTCTCCTTCCCCAGGGGTTGTGCATGCCAGCATATGCACCCTCACAGGACCTAAGTCCTCAGATGGAGTCGTGCAAGCCAATGCCTTTGACAACAGATATTTTCTTAAAGATTAGAGTTATTATACAGATCCTAACAGTATTTCTCAAAGCTGTTCTGTCTCCAGCACTGTTCCTTCATTGATCTCTATCCTGACTTAAACTGTATACATTCTTACTCTGATCTGGAATCAGAATTCATAATGGCAGGAAATGCAAACTTCTGCATCAGCTCTGCATTCTTCCTCTTTTCAGATCACATTCTCCTAGCGGAGTGCTGCGGCCATTACCACAGGGTAGGGCCTCCATCTCCTCAGAAGCTCTTGGGTTTCAAGCATCAGAGAGAGAGGGGGAGAGGGGAGAGACAGAGAGAGAGAGAGAGAGAGAGAGAGAGAGAGAGAGAGAGAGAGAGAGAGAGAGAGTTGAATATAAAATAACACCAAATAAAGAAGCTTGACTCTGACTGGATGGCAAAAAAACCCTAGTACTCTGTGAAGCAGAAGAACTAGATACCTTCTCAGGAACAAGAGGAACCCACACTTGTGCTTGAGAAGCCAGACTCCATTTTAGGGTCCACAGCTGCATCTCCTGTGATCCTCAGAAGCAAGAAGGATGAAAAAATTACTTGAAGTGTTCTTGATAACTCTGTGGCTTCATGTGGCCAGTAAGTTGTGCCTGCTAGTATGGGAACAGGGACATTGAATTTCAGAGGCCACATGGCTTAGAGTTGAATCTTCTTGTTGAATTTAGAATGTACTCTGGGAACAATTAACTGACTCCCTGGTCTCTGGCTTGTGTTTCTTTCTAGGGGTGAACAGCCAACAAGAAGAGAAAACTCAGACCTTGAGTATCCAACATGGTGAAAATGCCACCATGAACTGCAGTTACAAATCTGACATAATCACCCTGCAGTGGTACAGACAGGATTCTGGCAGAGGACCCACCATGCTAATTTTAATAAGGTCAAATGAGAGAGAAAGAAGCAGTGGACAGCTAAGAATCACCCTGGACACCTCTGCCAGAAGCAGTTCCCTGTCCATCTTGACTTCCCAGACTGAAGACACTGCTGCTTACTTCTGTGCCACAGATGCACAGTGTTTAGTGTGCACCTGCAGCCTGACTCTAACCTCAACAGAGCTGCTACCTAGAGGTCCCAGCACTGGGAGAGCTGTGTTATGTCTATGGGGGATCGTCTATGAGATCAGGAAAGTGGAATCCTCTCCCATTGATGATTTCTTGGAAATACCTGACACTTTTTCAAGGGCTAGAATTTGGAGTGGCAAAATGAAATGTCAGGCTCAGATCTGGCCCTCCTGCCAGCTGATCTCAAGCTCATCTTCAATGCAGTGGCTTTCTAAGTCCTCACTTGTTGTGAAGGGCAAGGATTCCTAAGTACCAACTATTCTCTGTTTATGCTCAAGCTAATTAGGAAAGTGAAGTCCTGGGTACTTGGTGAGCATGAGCAAGGACTGCTCAAGACTGGAAGATGCCCTCTGTACTATGTAGAGCCTCAGGGCCAAGGCAGGTCTGCGAGATGCTGAGGTCACTCTCACCTACCTGCAGTTCTGGGAAGTGAGATAGATCTCAGGACACACACAGCCATGTCTTCCACTTTACAATGAAGAGTGACAGTGTTTGAGAGGCAGAGAGCTGAATCTTGGAATAATAGAGCCCAAGATCTGACTCTGATCCTGAATGTATGTTTTTAAAAGCCTCATATTTTTCATTAGGAAAATGGAAAAGTATAAGCAATTCATAATTTTCTCCTCTATGTATAAATGTTATCTTCTTAATTACTAGGTCTTACTTAAAATTAACATATTGAATTGAAATCCCTTTATACTGACAGTAAAAAAATCCCTTTATAATGAAAGTTAAAAAATAAAGATAATAAAATAATTTTAAAATAAATTCATAAAAATAAACTTCAGAAAAAAATTAAACGCTCTGTTTTGAAAGTAGGTTCTTCAAAGTTCAAACTATCCATTTTTATCCTTTCATCTTGGTCCTATATGATGCATGTACACTGATTATAGTTTTGTTCACAATTTTGACACCACTGAAAGTATATGTGGAG